ATAAACCAAAAAGTCCAAGGGGCTGGTCAGTTAATGGTCATTCTTAAACGTGGCCCCAGATGGTAAAGTTTCTGGCAATTCTTACACACAGGGTTGGATTTTTTGATGCATTGTGGGTGAGCCACACACACACAGTATGTTCTGGTCATGTGCACTGTGAAGCTCTGTGCACATGAACTACAGCACATATGTCACATCAGTGTGCTGCATGTGTGTACGTTCTTCAAATGTGTAGACCCAGGAGAGAGCCCCACGTTACTTATTCAGGCGGATGGGCTCAGAGGAACCAGCAGGAAGGCCAGCACACCAAAAACAGCCAGTGAAGGCTCATTCTTCCTTTCACTTCTGTCTAGTTTAAAAAACACTTGCAGGAGGGTTCAGGGGTCTCTGTGTGCCAGGCATTGGGTAAGGGTGGGCAGGTGGGAGCCACAGGCAATGAGACACTGCCTGGCACTTTGGGTTTGATGAGGCCCTCTCCGTTGTCCATTTGCCTTTTATTCGCTGAATCCATGGCCTGGGCCTTCTCCTTCCCTCACCTCCTCCAGGCTCTTCTCTCATAAATGCACTCTGGAACAGATAGGTTGTTCACTCACTCACCAATCTAAAAACTAGGAGCTTATCCAATGCAACAGCTTTCAAACTTGATTCACCCACAATAAGGGAACTTTTTGCATTGCATCTCAGTACACACATACATGTTGTGGAACATAATTTTTAGCAAAGAAAACTTACCCTTAATGCATGTTTGAGATTCTACTTCACCCATTCCATTTAATTTCATTCTTTTCCATTCCTTTCTCAGTTTTAAAAATGCTGTCTTGATTCACTACATTAGTTTTATGATTCCCTAATGGGTGTGGCCAATAGTTTGGATAATTATGATCTGGTCCGCCTCCTCAGTTTTCTGACAAGGGACTTGCCAAAGGCCACACAGGACTGATCAGTCCCAGCCCCGCAGGCTGGGTGGGTCCAGTCTCACAACCTCCCAGGCCATCTGCCTTTCCTGCCTACCCCTCTTTCTGGCTCAACCTCTGCCCTGCCTCCCCATCGATTACTGTGCAGGACCCAGGAACTCCAGAGGGAAAGGAAGGGAGAACTATCACCAGTGGCCTTGGTCCACCTTCTTGAAAAGAGAGTGGAAGTGACAAGATGGGTCACCTGCCCTCTCCACCCCACAGCGATCAAAGGGGCCTGGGGGTGGGGGAGCCCATGCCTCTGGCATAATGAACCACATGGGCACGGCAACCCCACAAGCCTTCACTTTCCCCTAACGTCAGGAGTTCTTGACAGCCGGCAGTGTGAGTGCTAATTGCCAGCCGGGGTGAGGGTGCCAGCCCAGCAATCCATATCAATCACGGGCATTGGCTGTGGCTGAGAGACAAGAAGTTTCCTCGGAAGCTGTCAGACCCTGGTGTGATTACTTGGGACTCTGTGCCTGCTGGAGGCCACCAGGGACAATGGCCACCTGCCACCCCACTGCCTTGGCCTCTGGCTTGCTGGGCGCTGCTGACAGGTGTGGGCAAACACTCAGCCTGCCTGGCTTGCCTTGATGCTGTGTCACTGTGCTTGTCACTCAGGGACCAGTGGGCTGCACTCACTTCTCTTACGGAGGGAAAGCTTTGGGTCAGGTTTTTTTTTGTTTAATCAAATGTTTTTTTCCCTTGTGGGGAAGCTAAAATGGCTCCCCAGAGTGGCTTTCAAAACTAAGAGCCACTAAGGGGAACTGGGAGGCTCAGCGGGTGACATGCAGGCTGCTCCATCCTGTGTCAGGTTATATCTGTGTTTCAGATCACACTGACTCACAAACGTTAGCAGGTATCAGAATCACCTGGAGGGCTGGTTCGACCAGTGCTGGTAGGTCCCAGGCATTTCCATCCAGTAGTTCTGGGTGGGGCCATCATCTGCATTTCTAACAAATTCTTGCTGCTGCTGCTGGACCATGGGCTACAGTGAGGCCCGTTGTCCTCGAAAGTGTTTCCCAGGCTGTGTGTGTGTGCATTGCATGTATCTGGGGACTTCATCAAAATACACGTGCTAGTACATCAGCCCAAACTTAGAACCAGGACTTTCAGACCATTGCTGAGGGCCTGGGAAGTCAGATATACCCTGGGGCTCCTGGGTCTGGAATGCTGGGGGCTGGTCACAAGTTGGTCACAAGATATGTCACGTCTCAGTTAGGGGCGGAAAGTACTTTTTGAACATTTGAAGTTTAGAGAAGCAAAGGCTGCCTACAAAAATAGTGAGCTCCTGGTTGTGGAGGGGTCCAAGCCCAATTTGGGCCACCAACTTTTAGGCTGTGCTAGAAAGGACCTTGAATGAGGTAGACGTTGGATGGTATTCTGTGAAGGTTTTCCTTCCTAAGAGACATCAGTGAACTGAGGCTTTGGGAACATAAGATTTTGGGCTGGATTTGGGTTTAGAAGTCTCTCTCCCATGTCCCAGAATGGCCTGTGGCTCAGTGGTTTAATTTCCCATCACACTTACTTCATAACCAGCTAGGTCTTCAGGCACCATCTCATCCACTCCTCAGTCTGATCCTGTAGCCCCCCACCTCCCTGTGACACAGGCAGGCAGCTGTGTTCCCACACTGACAGATGAGGAAATAGAGGGTCGGGTAGGTTAAATGACTTGTCCAGAGGCCCACCACACTTCCTCAGGGTCTCCTGGGGGCAGGAGCCGGGCTACCCAGGCCTTCCTGGTGGTAGAGGTGCACCACAGCATGTGAGGCTATACAGCCCCAGCAGAGTGAATGAGTAATGGCATCTGTCCAGGAGCCTGATAAAGAGGCCTCTGAGTTGTCCACAGTGTCCTCCAGTGGATCTAAGGGTCAGGCCTGGTTAAGGGGCTTTTTGAGGCTCCAATCAGTCTGTGTTCTGGGGGTCTGACTGCTCCCAGGAGTCTCAGTCCAGCACCCTGCCTCTCAATAGGCAGCCTTCCCCTACCCCTTCTGTATGCTCACACCTTGCTATAGCTTTTTTTTTTTTTAGAGAAGAAACAGCTTTACTGAGTTATAATTTACATACCATGATAGCGTCCATTGGAAGTGCACAGTAGGATGAGTTTTGTAAAATTACACATGGGGCAGCCATCACCACAATCCAGTTTTAGAACATTTTCATCACTCCAAAAAGCTCCCTCATGCCTGTTTTCAGTCAATCCCTGTTCCTGCTCTCAGCCCAAGAAACTATACCAGTGATCTACTTGCTTTTTCTAGAGTTCTGCCTTTTCTAAAACTATCATGCAAATAGAATCATGCAATAAATAATCTTTTGTGTCCGGCATCTGTAATTTAGCATGTTTAAGTGCCCCCATGTTGTTTCAGGTGTCAGATATTCTGTCCTTTTTATTGCCAAGTAGTAGTCTAATGTATGGTTAGCCGGCATTTTATTTATCCATTCACCAGATCATGAGCATTAGGGTTGCTTCCAAATTTGGGCAATTCCAAATAACACTGCTGTGAACATTCCCATAGAAGTCTATATAGACATATATTTTCCTTTCTCTTGGGTAGATATCTAAGGAGTCACATGCTAAGCATATGCTTAACTTTTTAAGAAACTGCCCAATTGTTTTCCAAAGTGTCTGTACTGTTTTATAGTCTCACCAACAATGTGTAAAGGTTTCAGTTTCTCCACGTGCTCTCCAACACTTGTTATTGTCTCTCATTTTTTTTAGAGCCATTCAACTGGGTATGTAGGAGTGTCTCTAATTTGTGTCTCCCTGATGACTAATCATATCAAGTTTCTTTTTACGGGCTTATTAGCCATTAGTATATCTTTGGTGAAGTCTTTATTCAAATCTTTTTCTGTTAATTGGGTTGTTTGTTTTATTATTGAGTTATAAAATTTCTTCATATTTTCTCAGTACAAGTCCTTTATTAAATATTGGATTTGCAAGGATTGTCTCCCAGTCTGTGATTCGTCCTCTCATTTTCTTAATAATCTTTTGAAGTGCGAAAGTTTTAAATTTTAATGAAGTCCAATATATCAGTTTTTTCTATTATGGATCATATCTTGGTATCATATGTAAGAAATCTTTGCTTAACTCAAAGACACAAGGATTTTCTCCTATATTTTCCCCTAGGAATTAATATAGTTTTATATTGAGATCTATATCCATGTACTGTGGGTTAATTTTGTATATGGTATTAGGTAAGAATCTAAATTTGTTTTTGGCATACAGATATCCAGTTGTTCCAACAAATTTATACTTGTTGAAAAGACTACTCTTTCCTCATTGAACTGTCTTGGGCACTTTGTTGCAAATAAATTGACCATACATATGTGGGTTAATTCTGGGTTATCTAGTCTATTGCATTGATCCATGTACCTACCTTTATACTAATACAATGCTCTTGAGTACTGTAGCTTTATAGTAAAATTTGAAATCTAGGTGTGTAAGTCCTCCAACTTTGTTCTTGTTTTGCAAAATTGTTTTGGCTATTCTAGGTTATTTCCATTTCCATATAAATTTTAGAATCTGCTTGTAAATTTCTACAAAAAAAAAAAGGTCTGCTGAGATTTTGATAGAGATTTGATAGGGATTTTGATGTCAATTTGTGGAAACATGCCATCTTAACAATTTTGAGACTTCCAATTCATGAACATTTGCTTGGATCTCCATTTATTTAGGTCTTCTTTAATTTTTTTTGGCAGTATTTTATAGTGTTCTGTGTAAAATTATTATATTTATTTTGTTAAATTTATTCCTAAATACTTTCTCCTTTTTGATGCTATTGTGAATGAATTGTTTTGTTAATTTTATTTTCAGATTATTCCTAGGTAGTAGATAGAAATATGATTGATTTTTTTTTATATCTTTTAAGCTGAGATGGTTTTAAAACCAAAATGTCTTACTGCTTCTCTGACTGAGAGATGGGATCTATGCCCTATGCTTGAGTCTAGCTCGGAAAGTTCTTGATCACTAAAATATGGCAGAAGTAATTTGGGGCCAGTTTCCAGTTCTTTAGAAGCTAGCAGCCTCCATTTCCTGTCTCTTAGGATACTTGCTGCTGGAGCCCAGCCACCATGCTGTGAGGAAGTCCAAGCAGCCTGACAAGAGGGCCCATATGGAAGTCTGTGAGGAGAGGAACTGAAGCCTCCAGTCCTCGGCGGCACCAACTTGCCAACCATGGGAGGGAGCTGCTTGGAAGTGGATCCTCCAGCCTTTGGGTGAACTGGCTACTGGTGCTGCATGGAGCAGAAATGAGTATTCCCTCCTGGTTCTCGTTGTAAATGCAGATTTGTGAGCAAGATAAATAGCCACTGCTGATTAGAGCCACTAAGTTTTTGAGGTGGTTTTTTAATTAGAGAACTAGATAATTGGAACATTTGCCCTCTGGGTCTGATTAAGTACTCAGGTGAAAGAAATAAAGGGGAAAGGCAGAGAGAAGGAAGGAATGTCCGAAGGCAGACAGGCAGGAAGGAAAAAGGGAGGGAGTAAGGTGTGTGAGGATTTGAGCCCCTGCCCTGTGCTAGACACGTGTCTTGATCATTAGAGTTAGACTAGCTAGCAAACACAATGGCCCTGCCACAATACACTGTGAGTGCCTGACCTCAGGCAGGCCCTTCCCCCCACGGGGCCTCAGTCTCCCCGTCTGTACCAAAGAGGGCACTTGACTCTCTCTGCCATGACCCAGGAGAAGGGCTAAGCCTGGAGAAGGCCTCTGGGCTGAAGCTGAAGCCCGTGTTGTGTCTGGAGCTGCTCAGGGCCACCCTGGGAGGCCATCTGTGGCCATGGACTCCTTGTACTTCTCTGAACTCCCATATGCGGAGGGTGGAGGAGGAAGAGAGGGAGGACAAGGAAGAAAACCAGGTAATAGTTACAGTGATACATTGTATTGTTTTGCTTCTTTCTTTTGTACATTATTTTTAATTAAGCCTTTTATTTTGAGGTGATTGTAAATTTACATTCAGTGGTAAGAAATAACACAGATGTCCATCCGGTATACCCTTTACCCAGTTTCCCCCAGTGGTAACATCATAGCACAACAGTACAACCAGGCCGGTGACATTGACAGGGCAGGAATGGTTCCCTCACTACTAATATACTTCTTTCTTGAGAGCAGGTTTCCGCCTGAGTAAGGAGGTAGGCCCCAGGGCCCGGGGAGCATGGGGCACAGCCAAGGAAGGATGATGGCCCCCCTGCTTCCACCCTGCTGGGGCGGGGCTGTCTGAGGGGGCAAAGGCAGAGCAGGGGCGGCGCCACATCCCACGGGCTGGGGAGCCCTGGCTGAGCTGGCTGTCCGCTCAGGAGGGAGGACTCTGGCAGGGAGTGGGGAGGCTGTCCTGGGATAGAGGGAGGAGGTGAGGCCCTCTTGGCCTGCAGGGCTGAATGGTGGGGGAGGCTGATTCCAGGCTCAGGATAAGGCCACAGGAGTGCTCATCACTGTAGATGCATTGGGAGAGATGGACTGTCTGCTAGGCCCACCTGCGTGGAGCTTGGGTGCCCATGAAGGCTGGACTAGATGATTCTTGGAAGTCCCTCTAGCCCCGAGATGCTGCTTTGGGGACTGTGATGCCAGATCAGAACTCCCGGGAGTCTGCCTGAGGGATGCAGCTGTCCTTGCTGGGCTGCTCTGTGTCCCCCTGCCCCCAACCTCCCCTCCTGGCACAGCCCTTATCTGTTCTGGCCTCACAGAGTCCAGGGCTCCTGTGCTGCCCTGTCCTCCCAGGACCAATCATAGTCACGAGGCCCAAGGTCAGGCCTGTTTGTTTGGAGTTGTCTGGAGAGCAAAGCCTGAGTGGGAGGGGGCAAGGTGGGGGTGCTGGCGGTACTGACAGGTGGCAGCTGGGCCTGGCTTGCACATGCCTCTGGGCAGCCTGACCTTCTGCTACGGCTCCCTTCTTGGTGTGTTGATCTTTGTATGTAATCCCCATGGTGTGGATCCCTTTCTTTTCACTCTTTTCATGCCTGTCTTTTCTGTGTTCTTCAGTTCTCAGCCAACGGGACACTTCCTCAGAGAGGCCCTCCCTGACTGCCACAAAACACATCCCCTTCCTCTTCGACAGCTCATCTACCTTCTGTTTGCTTTTTCCCTGGCACTTTCATAGTCTGTTATTGTCTGTTGGTTCATGAGTTCTTGGTCTGGTCTGTTTGTCTTGCTGGACTCTCAGCTCTGGGTGGGAGAGGAAGGCCCTTTGGCTGTGTCCTGGGCTGTGCCCCAGTGCCCAGAGAACGAATGAACAGTAATGGCTAACACTTGTATGGTATTTATAGGCAGTAGGCAGTGTTCTAAACTACCTATATTAATGGAATAAATCCTCTTAACAAACTATGAGGTAGATGCTATTATGATTCTCATTTTATAGATGAGAAACCAGGACAAAAATTCTATGTTTCCACAGCTAGTAAGTGATGAGGCTGGGATTTGAACCCAGGGAATCTGGTGCCAGAGTCCATGCTCTCAGTCTGAAGGACTGATGCCCACCTGCCTTCTGGCCCTGACCTTGTTTCACTGGGGTCCGTTACTCTCCCCAGTATATATATGCATGGGCCTGCCCCCTGCCTGCCACCAATTCTTCTCTCCTGGCTGAGTGCTCTGACTCCACTAGGCTAAGCAGGTCCTGGCAGGCCTCTCCCTTCTCAGAAGTCCTGTGAGGGGGACTTGTCATCCTCTTATGCCAAAGGGGAAACTGAGTCTCTGCAGGGGAAGTAAGTGGGCTCCTGGCTTTCTCCAGTCCAGGGCCCTTTCTCTGCCTTTTAGGTACATGACCTCAGAGGTGGTATTTGAAAAGGCTGGGTGGGCTCCCAGATGGGGCTCTTCTTATTTCCCAACAGCTCTGGGAGAAGGGCAGCCAGCATGGCTTTTATCCCCATTCTGCTGATAGAAAAACTGAGGTGAAGCCTGTTGCCTATGGTCATCTAGCCAAAGAAGATCCAGACCTCCTGGCTTCCAGCCCTGGGTTCTATCCAGGTACCTATGACACCAGGTGGCAGAGGTTCTTGAGTGGATTTTCAGGCTTAGGGAGGGAAGTCAAGGAGGCTTGAACACCAGGAGAGGTAGAAGACCAAACTTCATGGAAGGTACTCTTTGAGATGTAGGCCCAGCCAGTGATGAATGAATGCATGAGTAAATGAATGATTCCCTGATGTATGTCCTACAGTGGAGGCTTAGCCCCACAGCAGGCACCTACCTGTAGGGGGCAGCTGCCCATTGAGTCTCCCAGAACCAGCTTGTTGGACCTAATAGCTCAGGCTGAGGAGAAAATGGTCCCTTCTCTAAGGGAGAGGCATATCCAGGGATATGGAAGGCTTCTTCGAAGAGGTGGCTTTGGCATTGAGCATGGAAGGTTGGGGATAGAAGCACTTTCTGGGCTGAAGGATGAGATCTAACAGAGTCATCAGAACCATGGATTCAGTTAGATTCCATCACTAGGATGGAGAGAGGGCAAGATTCAGGAAGGGCTCAGACCCTTGGTGTGGGGTGAGGGGCTGTGCTTCCCTTGTGCGGGACCCAGAGCAGCCAGTCTCACAATGGGAGGGCCATTCCTCTGGCTCCTCCCCAGCATTTTCCCAGAGCCTCCCAACCCACCTCTCTCTGAAGCCCACCACCTCCTTGGCAGTGAACTCCAAGGACTTGCTGGTTTAGATTTAATACACGTGGGTCCTGCATCAAAGACTTCCTTGCGGTCCATGAAAACCCAGACCTCTAGGGGAAGGGACGTACATTTCTTGAAGCCTCAAAGGAGGCAGGCATTTTATATATCATCATTTCCTCCTCACAAGAACCCATGAAGAAGCTACTGTTCTTTTAGTATTTAAACAGCTTTAAGTTTGCCTGTTTAGAGTGTACACCTCAATGGTTTTCAGTGTATTTGTAGGGTTGTGCATTTGGGACATTCCTGCATCTTCCAGAGAAACAGTGTGCCCATTAGCAGTCACTCTGCATTCCCTCCCGCCACCCCATAGGCAGATCAAAGCAGGAGAGGGCCTAGTGAATGCCTTTTACCCAGCTAACCGACTTCCACCCTTATTAAGTCCCATCCACTTCTATCATTTTTGCTGGTGCTGTTGTTGAAGAATCTCAATCGATGCTATTCCAGGTGTGGGCTGTGGACCAGCAGCATGGGTGTCCCCTGGAATTAGTTAGAAATGCAGACTCTCAGGCCCCATCCCAGCCTCCCAAGTTAGAATTGGCCTTTTCCCTAGAGCTCCAGGGGATTCACCTGCACAGTAGCATTTGACCAACTCTGGGATGAAACCAAAGTAAAGACTTCCTGTGGCACATCACCTGCCATGCGCATCTCTGATATAGGGACACCATCTTCCATAACTACCAGGCCACTGTCACAGTGATGGAAACAAGCAGTAATTGCCATTCTGAAAGGAGGAAACAGACCCAGAGAGGTTATGTGCCTTGTGCCAGGTCCCAGTAGGAATGCAGAGCAGAATTTGAACCCAGACCCACCTGGCTGCATACCTCTCTTCCTTCCACCCTCATTATTCTGAGGGGCCTTCAGCCATGGCCAAAGTCCCCTGCTGTCATCAAGAGAAGCCCGGAGCTCTTGGCAGGGTGCTCTGTGAATGCCAAGACACACGAGCTGCTCACTCCCTCTCTCGAAGTGACTGGGTGGCAACGGTGGAGCCTTGGATGATGACCAGGTTGCCAGATGACCACGGTCGGCCAGTCCTCTCACTGATGTTGTGAGAACAGAGGGAGAGGCTAGCTGCTGGGGCCAGGGCCAGCCTCGGTCCAGACCCAACCTGCCATTGACCTGCTGTGACCTGGCCAGCTGCTCCCCTTCTCAGAACCTCTGCTTCCTTTCGTGGGAGGCCAGGTAAGGTGACCTGGGCCTGGGCCCGAGAAAGCAGGTGTGCCATGTGCTCCTCACAGCGCCCTGCTGGCGGGCCGGTCTGGGCTCTAGCGCGGTGGTGTTCGCAGAGTAACTCCTCCCTCCTTCCCCATCTGAGCTCCGCTGCTGGATGAGGAGCATCTGCTTGCTAAGAGGTACCTGATGAGAAAAGGAGGATGGGTTCTTTCTTTGAGTTTGCTCCAATGGAGCAGAATCAGGGCTAGTAGCTTAGGGCCCAGCAGGGGTCTGTCCTGGGCGTGGGGGGCAGGGGAGGTGGGTGGAGACAGACTAGGAAGGGCAAGTCTGGAAGCAACCCTCTAGGGACTGGCAAGCAGAGGTGGAGGGAGGGCTTGGAGAAGACCCCATCCCGGCATCAGCTCCAGTGGTCCCAACTCCTTATTTTATGGATGGGGAAACTGAAACAGCACAGCCAGAACTTAGGGAGTCCCAGGACTTCCCTGACGCTAATGCTGGCGGCACCTCTGACAAATGCCATCCGGCTGGGTATGGATATCCTTTGTTTACTTGTCCAT